TAATAAATACATTTTTTTAAAAACTGTCAGGTTCTGAAGGGTTAATGAAAACAGCCAAACACAGAAACGGTTTGAAATGCAGTTTGTATTCTTCCTTCGGCATGAACTGACCAACCAAAGCACTAAGGCAATGAATAAATTGTCAGAGCTGCCACCCGGTGCTCCCCACCACCTTTCATAGTTCCTTAGTAATTAGGATAACAGCACCACCTTTTATAGTACCTTAGTAGTTAGGATAACCTGCACCTCATGGGTGTGCACACCCATTCCCTCATAACCCAAAACAAACACCACCCAGCAATTAATTGTAGATTGTTGTCAGTCAGTTATCACTAGCTTTGTAGATTTACATGGCAGCTCTAGGCCTCTGGGCTGGCCGGAGCTGACAAAAACACTTAAACAGAGGAGATAGTTTGTAGTCATGCTAAGAGTGTGGGCAACATATGGTTAAAAATCCATGATGGATTTGAAAAGTTGAAAATAATTGTAGCGCAGACCATGGTCATTTTCCCTTTTGGACAGAAGGACAATGCAGGGTTATAAATAATACCATCTTAATCAAGGAAACATATTTCCCCTCCCTTCCTCAGAATTACTCTTTTCCTGCATTGTCTAGCTGCATGCTGCTTTTCTTCCTGTTTGCTAAAGAAACAGATTGAAAATACTGTCATTTATAGACATTTTGCACCATTATTTGGTTCTCTACTTTTTTGTATACTGCTAATTATGCCAGTCACTGTACAGATAAATATTCCATAGCTTGAACTCTTTGTGATGGACTACAATTTTTATAAATTAAAATAAGAATATTAATGCTTTTGAGGAGTAACAAGAGATTGTCACACGACTCATTTAGGAAGGTTCACAGTTTCTAGGGGAGGCATGATGAAATGAAGACATCTCCATGAAAGAGAAACTGATGACTGTGGCAAAGATTAGAGAACTGGTTAGAAGACCAATTTCTTCAAACCTCTCTGGACAAGATGACAGGAGATTGCCCACATGTACTTTGAATGGCTGCTTCTCAAGAGGAGATGCAAGATAGCTGTCTTCCATAGGATTGAATGCTAAGAGATGACAGGATTAGCCATCTTCTTCACAACTCTGGTAGAGCTTTTTAAAGAAAACAGTCCTCACTTTTTAGTCACTGTTAGAAGTCACTCATTAACCATTTAAAGCTATTAGAGTTATTTGGAATGACAAGTTTAAAAAGTCTTTGGGTGAGTTTAGCGTCAACAAAAGAAAAATTAATTATACATTTAAGAAACTGAAGCATTTGAAATAAAAAGCAAAAGCCAAATAAGATTTTGATATAAGAAACTTATCAGTGGATTAAAGATCAAGCTAATTTTGGATTATTGACTTTTAGTATAAGTTTTTTACATTAATTATAAAATATAAATAGCTTTTTGTGAGAAAAAGAGGATTTGTGCTATCTTGGTTCATAACAAAGGTAAGCAACTTTATGATGTATATATATAAATAATCCAGCTTTTTGTGTTGGTTAACTGGGACTTACAAAATGAGACAAAACATAACATTGGAAATATTAAAGATCTTTGAAAAATGGAGCCAGAAATAAGTAGTTATAATATCAACAGTGTAAGTAATGATGTCTGATTCTATGGATAGACTATGTCAGAGGTGGGTTCCTACCGGTTTGGCCGAATAGGTACTAACTCGGTTGCCTAAGCATCCAAACTGGTTCAGCGGTGCCATAGGTGGCTCCTTAGGTGCCACTAACTTGTTTTTTGCCTACTGCGCATGTGTGCACAGTGCGTGTGCAGAGCATCCCTGAGCGAACCAGCAGTAAAAGAATCCGAAACCCACCCTTGGACTATGTCCAAAAGATGCCAATGAGAGAATGAAAGATGTGAATCCAATTTTGTTGGACAAGACAGAAAGTTCCAAAATTGGAACCTATGCATAATTGATCAAGAGAATTATTTGGAAAAGGACACATTTATTTATTGATCAATGGTTATACGATTGCCCATCTCATATAAAGGGACTCTAGGGCAGAGTATAACAATCCAATAAAACAAGGAATATTTTTGGAAAAAATCATCTTAAATTATTATAGTTATTAAAAACATTAAAAACTGTAAAAGCAGAAGTAAACAGAAATTGGATATACCAAAAAAAAAAAATGGCCTGAAATTTTAAAAATGAAAGGAGAAATACAAATGAAAAACCAAAAAATGACCAGGTATTTTTTCTTCTTTGTTGTACAAGATGTTTGTGCATGTGCAGAAGCATACAATTAATATAAGTTCCTGGTTTTATTTGACGATTAATTGCAGTCTTTAAGGCTTTTCCTTAAAGTTCTTAAAGGCAGCTTACAAGATCATAAAGGCAGCTTACAAGATCATAAAAACACAATATAAAAGAAATAATGTGCAATGGGATCAAGAAAAATGAAAGAAAAACAAATCCTATCACAAAATTTGAATTAAATGATTAAGACTGTTAGAAGTAAAAGGAAGGAATATAGCATTGGTTTATCTGATCATAATTAAAAGAAGACATTTATTTGCAAAATTCTGGCAACCTTTTAGGGACTTTTTCCTCACCAGGATTGAAAATGAGATGATAGCTTCCCCCTTCCCCCTCTAATTGCCAGCATCATATGTGGAAATCAGATATTTCATTCCCAAAGGATCCCATGCAAAGATCCCTGATTAGAAGACTTAGCAGATATGGATGTTATATAGCCCTAATCTACAAATGAATGTCCAAATGATGTAGCTACTTAATAGGGCCTTAAATGACACCTATGTTTATGTGTTTGCACGAGATTGATTTTATTTATTTATTTAGAAAATTTATATTGCCGCCTACTCACTCATGGCGACTCAAGGCAGCTTACAAGATCTTAAAAACACAATATAAAAGAAATAATAATAATAAAATATCCCCTGCTAACGCGGTGACAACACATTCATATCAGCCATTTAATGAACTCCATCCCACTCTGTGGGTTCCCTAGGCCTGCTAGCAGAACCACATCTTCAGGGCCTTCCAAATGAGTGTCAGCATGGGGGGCAATCTAATATCTGGAGGGATGTTCCAGAGAGGGAGCTACCACGGATAAGGCCCTTCCTCCGAATCCGGCCAGATGTATCTCTTTAAGAGATGGGACTCGCAACATTCCTTGCCTCCCCACTCTAGTGGGTTGGGTAGATATGACCGGCAAGAGATAACCTGGTCCAAAGCCATGAAGGGCTTTAAAGGTGACAACTAGCTCTTTCAATTGCACCTGGAAGCAAATCAGCAACCAAAGCAGTTCCAGCAGGAGACTTGATACATGTGCTCACTGAGGTCTGTACAAAAACCATGTGGGCCACTGTATTTTACACCAACTGGAGGTTCCGGATGTTTTTCAGGGGCAGCCCCATTTAGAGCACATTGCAATAGTCACCACTGGAGTAGGGATTGTTGGTCCAGGAGATGAGGGGCAGCATCCCACTCTCACTTTGGAAAACGAAAAGCCATCTAATCTTACTCATTATACATCTACAGCTACCAGCTTTCTCTTCATATGCAGCATATAGTATGCTACCCACCGTGCATGTTTACCCGTTAAAAAAGAAAAGAAAAAAAGAAGTCACATCCATTTATTTAGGAAGAAAACGCAGCTTCCTTTCCTCCCAGGAACAGCAACTGCTGAGGAGGCGCGCACGGCCAATGGCGGTGACTTTTGCCAAAGGAGCCAGCAGTCGCCTCGCCTTCCCAGGGATGCCCGCTGTTTCTGCTAAGCGGGTAGCCCCGCGTCTTCGGCCGGCGGCGCGCGTGGGCGGCCGGCCGGTATACCGCACGAGGCCCGCCCAGCCCCTCCTTGCCGCTGCAGCCGCCGCCACACCGGCGGGGGCACCTGCTGCCGCGGCTCGTCACGCGGACGGCTCGGTCCTGCTATAAAGTGCTCCCGCTCAAAGCCCGCCCAGCCGCCCCCCTCGGAAGAAGGAGCGACGGCGGTGGTTGCCGCCGCTGTAGTTGATCGGAGGGAAGCCGAGGCCCGGCCGGCGCGAAGGGAGCCGGCAAGATGTTTTACTCGGGGCTGCTGACCGATAGGAAGGACATGGACGTGAGGGAAGCCGCAGCCCTCCGACAGCAGAGGAGGATGAAGCAGGCCGTTCAGTTCAACCACAAGGACTCCGCCGACCTGCTGCCCTTGGACGGGCTGAAAAAACTGGGAACTTCCAAAGATACTGTAAGAATTTGGATTTTTGTCGGGCAACGGGGGACGCAGACGAGGGTTGGAAGAACACCGTGGGGGTGGGGGTGGTTCCGAACAGGGTGAACTGGATGTCCTTTGGCAACCCCCGAATATTTGCAATATTTGGCAACCCTCGAATATTTGTGCTGGAATTTGGCGGGGGGTTGGGAGCGGGGTGGAAGAAATCGGGAAGGGCGGGCGGGGGGAAAAAGGGCTGATGATTTTAGCAGCTTCCTTCGTGGGGTTTTTTTAAGGTATTTTTTTGTTGTTGAAGTATGTACCCGCATAATGCAAATCATGTTGACTTTAAACGGTTGATCAATCAAGGCAAGGAGGAAGAGATGGGAAATTTAATTCTCGAAATAATTTACTAGGCTTGTGCTTCCCTCTCTCTTCATAGCACACCAGGGTCTTAAACAGCCTTTCTTGAAATAAGCTCGATTGATTTCTGCAGAAGGCGCTTCTTATTAAAACGAGTTCACAACAATTGCAACTCTGGAGCCCTGCTTACCTGGAAGCTTGCAAGATCTTTTTGGGGGTGGGGTGGGGGCCAAAATGACAGTTTATAAAGATGAAAGAATTTTGGATCAGTAAAGCAGTGCTGGAAAAACAGTTTTAAACCCCTCCTTTTTACATTGCTATGGCATTGATCCAGTTAAAAGAGGTGTAGATGCTTTGAGGATAAAGAAATAATCCTGATTCTGTCACTGACTTTCTATGATTCTTGTAAATAATCCCTTAGAAATCTTATACAGAGAATAAACCATTTATTTAAAAAAAAACCAATCCCCCCAAAGCAGAGGATTTGGGTTTTTTCCCCCCTATCTGCAGAGCTTTCTGTATCTTTACTATTGAAATATGCATTAAACATGTTATTTGAATTGAACAAAATGCAGCTGGCAACATAGAATGATTTAAAAAGCTGGAATGGTTTTGTGTGTGTGTGATATGTCATATTTATGTTTCCAAAATTAATTACTTTATAACTGAATGTGTACTGGGATTTTGCAAACTATTGCTTAAACCATCTAGCAAGAATATTTATAAATATTTTTACCTCACACTTATCTTTCTATTTTGTTAATGTCTGATTTAATTTGGTCTCAATTGCTTTAATATGGCCTCAGCTGATTTCTTGAAGATTATTAGATGGCTAATGCTGGTTTAGGTGATGCGAAAGTCTGACCTAATCAGCTTTTTTTAAAATCGGGGGGGGGAAATGTAGACAACATAATAGGACTATAGTTATAAGTCCCTTCTATCTGTTCAGCTTTCAGATATTTCAGAAACATATAGACAGTATATACATTTGAAGCCAGTGGGCATTGCAGCCGACAGTGTCTATGGAATCTACCTGTGCAAAAGTTAGAAGGTATAAAAAAATTCTAGAAACAAAGGATCCCTTTCCCCAGAAACAGAATTAATAAATCTATTTTTTTTCTTAATGAAAATGAAATAAAATGGCTTCCTTTGGCTTTCTAGCTTGATTATGAGCTCCCTTTCTAAGGCATAGACAGAAAGATATCTTATTTTTTACTGGCTAACTTACAAATTATGAATCAGCTTTGATGACATGGCAAATCACAACAATAACTTTTGCATGGTTTATGATGTCACACTTCATGCTATGGACAACTGGATGAAATATATGTAAAGACAGATCTGAAAGCACAAGTGTTAATTCAACTGTGGTGAACAGGAATGAGTACGTTTGTGAAAAGGTACCTTGATAAATTAAAAAAGAGGGCTAGTGTTAGTGACTTTTGTCCACCACCGCTTCTGCCTCTGACCAAAGCTGATATTCAACCAGGGACAGAAAATGAAAGAATTGGGCTTGTCAGAAACAGCATGTTCCGGAATCCTCTTATCTTAAAGCCAGAGCTAGGAAGGACCCGTAGAAGGTGTGCAAAGATTCCAGGAGCCAATTTTGTGTATGGCCTAACTTCACATGGAACTGACGGAGGAGTCCCCGAAGCCATAGGGCACTGGCATGTTATGCCACCTCGTACTATCAGAGGGAAAGACATACCCAAAGATTTTATTCGCATGAATAGTAACGGAATTAAGGCTGGTCTTTTCACTGCAAAAGAACACCATCTATATTGCCAGCACCATAAGCTTTACTGCAAAACAGCTGTTGCCAAGACCTTCCCCAAAAATGTACTTCGTCTTCCCGACGCCATGACCTATGGGAAGCCATATCCTCCTCCTACACCCATAACAGAGGTCCTTCAACATAAGTTTGGTGAGCAGTGGCTGCAGGAGCATCGGAAAGCTGATGACATGCGTATTAAGCAGAAGAAACATTTAAAAAAACGAGAGAAAACACAGGAGACCCGTACGACAATGTTGAATAAATATCAAATCCCTGTGAAGATGGATTCACAATGGCACTTGCCAAAATTTCAGAAAGTTGCGCGCCATCTTGACACCTTCCCAAGTCAAGAAGATAGACTGAATGCCATGAAAGCTCAGCAAATTGAAGCACCAGTTCGTTGTGGCCAATTTGGTTGGGGCATTTATACTCATATATAGGACTCAGCTTTATAAAGAAACAAATGACTTAATGTAGTTCAATATGAGCTCTGTGCTATGATAAAAAGTTTGATGGAACCTGCCATAAGTAGCATTAAAACGAAGCTCCTTGTGGGGAAAAAAAGGAATAGATAAGGACATAAGTGTCTCATTGCTGAGCTTCTGCTATCAGATAAATAGAAAGAATGGAATTCCTGACTCACCTAAAGGATGCATTACACCATTTGAGGATGGGATGTTGGTACAACATCACAGCTTAATATAAAGCAACTGTCAATGTGTTTTAGCTAGAAAGCTTGTATGGTCTTTTTGCCTTCAGTCTTATTTGGAACATGAACTCAGTGAAAAGGAAATACTTTCCTATATTAAAATAAATAAAGTAGTTTAAAATGTTATTTTTTTCTGGTTTAAAAGAAATTAGAGGACATCGCATAAATACTAGTAGGCTATATCTAATGTTAATAGAGGAATAACATCCTATTTTTTTCTTAATATTTGTAAAACCCACTATATGCATAAATACTGGATTTTCTAGTCATTAATCTGCAAGTAAAGATTTCAGAATTAATTGTCTCTAAAAAGATATGAGAGAATATGACTGGCATAATCCTTTTTACCAAAGGAAAAAAAAACACACTTCTTTGGAAACTACCACCCACTACCTCTCCTGAATCAATTTTCATCTTCATTTATTTCTTCATCCCTGTAGGTTGTAAAACTTCCAGAAGTTCTGGACTAATTTATGAGAAATTTCTTTTTTCCCCTAATGCATTATGGATAAACTATATTATTTTTATATTACCATGGATGCATTCATATAATTTAAAGTTAAGGTGCTTGTATATAAATACATTTTACGTTAGTAGCTATTGATATTTACATCTGCAAGGAACTTGCAGTTGAAATTTCAAAAGTGCAATTGCAGAGGATGTGGCACATGGAGAACAATAATGTTGATTTGATCTTGTCAAATTTGATTACTTGTACTAAGTATGATGAAGACATAGCAGCCATCTATAATCAATCTTTCAACAAGGGTGGACTTCGACTACAGGAATGACCTTCAAAGAAAGACTTAAAGTAACTTTTGCATTTCTGTACATTCAAATTTACAACAATCCCAAGCCTGCAATTTAGTAAAAAATTAATAAAACAATTGAAATTTAATAATTGATTCCTTAACATTAACACTTTGCAAAAAAAAAGATGGTATTAATATTTGAGAATGGATTTAGGAGAGTCACAAATACTCTCTTCCCTATATTCTGAATCAGAACACGGAGGTTAAACTAAAGACAAGCTGGAAGCCCTGTGCAAAGCTATTTACTCTAGACTCACACTGCACAGTGTGAAATAATTATGCTACCCTTTCAGATGTTGCATGACTAGTTGTTATTGGAATTGGCCTGATGAGGTTGCGTGTATCCCTGGTTCCTCTTTATCTGCAGATTTGCAAAATGGTTGTGTTAAAACACATTTAAAACAAATACCTTGCAACTGGCTATGTGAAGGGGAACTGAGAGCCTAATAGTAATATATTTAAAGTGGCAAAACCTATAGGCAGTGATATATTCAATGTTATGCTAAGATAAGAATGGGCAAATCCATATTGTTTGAAAGGAAGAGTAAGGATTTTCGAAAACCAGGGAATCAGTGGTGAAATTCAATTTTGTTTGCTACCGTTTCTGTGGGCGTGGCAGGGGAAGGATACTGCAAAATCTCCATTCCTGCCACACTCCAGGGGAAAGATACTGTAAAATCTCCATTCCTGCCACACTCCAGGGGAAAGATACTGTAAAATCTCCATTCNTTCCTGCCACACTCCAGGGGAAAGATACTGTAAAATCTCCATTCCTGCCACACTCCAGGGGAAAGATACTGTAAAATCTCCATTCCTGCCACACTACAGGGGAAAGGTACTGCAAAGTCTCCATTCCCGCCCCACTCTAGGGCCAGCCAGGGGTGGTTATTTGCTGGTCTCTGAACTACTCAAAATTTCTGCTACCGGTTCTCCAGAACCTGTCAGAACCTGCTGAATTTCACCCCTGCAAGGACCTAAGAGAAAAGGGATAGAAAATTTTGATCATTTGGCTGAAGGAGCTGCCTTTTCACTTGCACATTGGTAGAGAATGTACCATGGTTCCTGTTATCAACTTTCTCACCAAGAAGGATAAGTGAAAGAGTTCACCTAGTTCCTGGTATGTTCTTCAGTCTTGGATACCCCTCCCCCCCAATTTACAGTATCTCTTAAAATTATTCATTTTTGCAGTGCCTATTCTCAGTAGTGCACAAGGCTACAGATGCAATAATACAAGGTGTAGCATATTACCAGAAAAACATAATAACAAAGTTGGAAGGGACCTTGGAGGTCGTCTAGTCTAAGTTATTAACTTATTAATTAAGGCCTCGGAAGATGTTTTCTGAAAAGGCTTTGGGAACATTTCATATCATGTGGAAGGGGCAGTACATTACAGAGATAGGCAAGCTTAGCACCAAACTTAGAGAGCAAGGATCCATTGCATGTACATTTGGAAGAAGGGCAGAAGGGAGCAACCTGAAATTATAAGACTCATAGATCATCCCAAAGGTGCTTTTTCAAAAAGCAGCTGGACTTCAGCTCTGAAGAAGTTTCTTGGATGAGAAGTGAAATGTCTTCAAAGAAAAACCAGAAAGTCCAGTTGCCACTTGAAAAAGTACCTTTGAGACAACAATGACCTGGATGACTGAGAATCTCTATACAGAGTCTCATAAAACAGAGTTCCTCAACCTTTTTGGCTTTGCAGACCAGTGGGTGGGGGCAGAGGGGATAGTGTGGGCAAGCACGCACTCAGCTCTTATTTTGTGTGAACAGCGGACACATATGCCCATTGCTCATGCAAATGGAGTTCACAAGCACAGGCTTACCCATTGTGGGCCATGGCCTGGGGGTTAGGGACCCTGTCATAGAAAAAGAGCAGGCTGTGTGATGGGTGCAGAGTAAAGCCTTAACTATTATACTCACTGACCATATATGGTCAATGGATCATGAGGTGCTGAACACTCAGTGCCACAGAAGCCACACTTCCAATACTCACAACTTGCTGAGCCACAAAAGTACATCAGTTTCCAACATTATGCAAACATAGTACTTGATGCAGATATGGCTGCTATCATTAATTGATCTGGTTTAACATGGTAAAGGTATATAGTCTATAAGGAGTTTTAACGAAGAATACAATACTTGGGATTTTATAGATGACAATATGAATAATGATAGCATAGAAATTAAAGTTATATTGGGGGAACCATGTAGAAACAACTGTGAGCCCACTCCATTCACGTATTCAACAGAGATGATTTTTTTTGGTACAAATGACCTTTAATTTTTTTATAATGTAATTTTAAAACTATGATTTTTTTTCATAATGATTAGCGTATTTTCTGTATATTCAATTTGTTGATTTCCAGCAGAAATTCAAGAAGACATTAATCTTGCCTTAATTAAAATGTCTATTTTCTCCCAAAGTTAATTTTAAGGGGGGGGCGGACATAATTATCAAAGAAGTGTAATTCTTTAGGAAAAAAATATGGATACTGGAAATATTTTGTGAAATTTCTGTGTTTAATTGGCAAGTAAGTTAATGCAGGTAGAAAGGTAAATATCAGCATATATTTCTATATTTAATATGAATAGAAAATTGACAATGGTATTAGAGGAAGACAATTAACACTAACGTATGTAAAATATTAGGGACACAGTGGCTCAGTGGATAAGACGCTGAGATTGTTGATCAGAAAGTCGGCAGTTCAGCAGTTTGAATCCCTAGCACCACGTAACGGAGTGACCTCTGCCAACCTAGCAGTTCGAAAGCATGTAAAAATGCAAGTAAAAAAATAGGAGCCATCTTTGGTGGGAAGGTAACAGTGTTCTGTGCGCCTTTGGTGTTTAGTCATGCCGGCCACATGACCACGGAGAAGTCTTCGGACAACCCTGGCTCCTTGGCTTTGAAACGGAGATGAGCACCGCCCCCTAGAGTCGGGAACAACTAGCACATATGTGCGAGGGGAACCTTTATTTTTACCTTTTTATGTAAAATATATTTTCATACTGCTTACTTACAACAAGTTTTATTGTACTAAATTTAATTCAATACATTGGGAAATGTATTGGTAGTAATTAAAATATTAAGTAGTGATGGAAGGTTAATTGTCATTGCTTTGAGTTACCTATCTGGAAGCAGTTTATATTAATGCATATATCATTTTTTCCTTCCTTTTCGTGGGTCCTTGTCTGAAATTTCTGGACCGATGTAGTTCATTGTGCCTTCTGTTGTGTGGATTCAAAGGATACTTTAAACACTTAGATAGCCAAGCAGGGGCCATTTAGGAATGTTTCTATATAATGACATAATGTATGAACCACCATTCTACTTCTTGTAGAGGCATAATTAGCAAGATAGGGAATACCTAAAGGATCTTAATGAGTGTGTCTACTATAGTGAACACAGTAGTATTAATTATAATTGCAGTAGGACCATGAAAATTCTAACATTAATTCAGTACACAAAAGACTACTGAAACATCTGTTTTCCCAAACATTTACTTAAATAGATGTGAATTACAAAATTTTCAGGACAGAGAAAGATACACTGTTTTGCTTTAATTTCATAAAATAGAAAATGATATGCATGCATTTGCTCTGCTGTCTATTATATTGAATTATCTTTGGGTTTGGAAAAGGTTGGAAGTTAAGCTTTGAGAAGTATTATGTCCTTTCAGATACTTGAAGAATGTTCCTATCTTTCTACAGTCTTTACCCAAAACTAAGCCTTGCTGAAAATAGGCAGGCATAATTACAATGCAAATTATGCACATGCAGATCACTAAAACATTTAAAAGAAACTTGTTTATTGAGGACCACATATGTCCATGTCTAATTTGAATAATGTAGACTTTATAATTCTCCAGGTTGTAGAATATTTGGCTCAATCTCTTCTGAAGAAAAAATCCATTAAACTATCTTTTGATAGGTGACCACCCAGCTCCTGGTTTGAAAACCTCTAGCAAACAGGAATCTTATCAGTGTCCTAGGTGGACTCTTCCACTTCTAAGGCACACTTAACATAAGGAAATTCATCCAGCTATTCACCCCGAATCTCTTTTAATTTCAACCTATTGGACATCTCTGTGCCTCACTTTCAGGTTTGCTTCATTTTGAAGGCAGTCTTTTAGTTGTTTCTGGAGGCTGTCAGGTCTCCCTTAAATCTTTGTTTTTGAAAGGTAAACATAGCCAGCTCTTTCTTCTTAGGGTATTGTTTCCATGTATCTTATTTTTCTGGAAGTTTATCTCTGAAACCAATCTTGCTTATTATCCACATGTCTTTTAAACGATGATGTTCATAATTGGAGGCGAGTGTTTCAAGGGTGGTCTAACTAATACCAGCAGGAAGTCATCTCTCACAGTCTGAAGGTTATCCTTCTATTAAATGTTCTGTCAAAAATGCATTAACCTTTGTAGTTGCTTCATTGCATTGTTTATTCATATTCAGCTAAGGTCCACTGAGACTCTTTAATCTTTTTTCCCACATGCTGCTGTCAGATCAGGTCTTCCTAATTCTGTACATTCGCATTTGATTTTTCAACTAGTTCAGGGCTATGATTAAACATAATCTTTTAGGATTTCATTTTTGAATTATGATTTTGCCTTTCGAATATTACATAATTTCTCCAGTTTGGCATCAGCTGCAAATTAAGCAAGCTTTCCATCTCTTCTCTTCCCTTCCCTTCCTTTCCCTTCTCCTCCCCTCCCGTCCTTTCCTCTCTCTCTCTTCAATTTCCTTTGTATGGTTCACAATTTGAAAAGGGAGCCATGACCTTCTAGCTTGAGTCTGTATATTACCAGTGGTAGATGTAGATATATAAGCATCATGAGACAGAAAAGACTGAAATTCTCTGAAATTCTGTGCTTTGTCATTGAATTTAGATAGCTGGATGTTGAGTGCATTGGGACTGAAATGAGATCCTTGTGGGATTTTTTATTTTTAAAATATGTTTTAATATTGAATTACGCCAAGAAAAAAAAGCAAAACCTGTGAATTCAAACAAAACTGCATGCATATTTGATATGCATATACAGAGAAAGAGAGAGATGCACTATACAAATTAGCCTAACAAATAAGAGAAAAGACAGTTAAATCAAATAATACAATACTAATAAATATTGATACATTTTATAAAAAACTCTTTTGAGCATGATAAATCCAGAACTTTTAATAAATAGACAAATTGTTTAAACATAATTTAGAAATACATGGACATCCTTAAACTTCATTTTCTTCCCAAAAATTACTATAGCAAGAATATTCAGTTAATAAGAAGTTGACAAGGGACATGACAATAGTTATGTAAACACCTCAAAAATATTATATCTCCAACATTGGAAAATGGATTTTCTGTAGACTTTCTAAGCAACCTTTGAAGAGTCTAATAAACCTGAAAAAGATTTTTTGTGAATTAATATTATTTTAAAATCAACATTTCTTAAACTTGTAGAACTCCAGTTTCAAGCCCTCTATGTTATCAGTATATATTTTCTTTTTAATTGTCAATAAAACTGAATTGTAATACAAGTTAACAAGTGTGCCTACTGATATCATTGAAAAAGAAAGCAATTTTTATGAATTTTTATATTATGTTTGACAAGGAAAGCTTAGCGTTTGAGCTTTCCCAAAAAGTTAATCATTAATTTAGCAGTTTGTTTATTTAAGTAAAATTAACAGAAATCATCATAGAATATATGTCAATCTTGAAGTAATACTCATTTTCACAATATTTATTCTTTCCCATAAATAGATACTTTCACCCGACTGTTAAACTCACCATTAATCTCCATTATGAATTTGAAATATCAATTTCTATCAAAATGAGATGCTGGCTACCATATGTGGCCTATGCCTTGGTCTCCAGGTATAAAGAACTATTGAGTTGGGATCAGACAATTCAAAACATAAAGCACAACTAGTTTGTACATATATTACTACAGGGTATGTTTGAGTTTAGTTAGAAGTAAATTGCATTAAATGTGTAGTTTTTTGTTAATGATTTTAGCATGATAATGCTATTCTTGTTCAGGTCATATAAGTTAGGTAGAGCCACTTTGGTCTAGTTGTTATTCTTGTTCAGGTCATATAAGTTAGGTAGAGCCACTTTGGTCTAGTGGTTAAGGTACCAGGCTGGAAACCAGAAGACTGTGAGTTCTAGTCCTGTCTTAGGCATGAAAGCCAGCTGGGTCACTTTGGGCCATCACTCTCTCTCAGAACAACCCACTTCACAGAGTTGTGGTCCTCAAGAAAATGAAAGGAGGAGGGAGCATTATGTATTTTCGCTGCTGCCTTGAGTTACTTACAAAATAAAAAAGTGAGGATTTAAATTAAATAACAGGCTATTTTTCATTGTAGGAACAAACATAGCTACAGGAAACCAGTCTTATGGGAAAACAGGAAGACCCCATACCCATTTCAATATTAGAATAACAGAGTTGGAAAGGACCTTGGAGGTCTTCTAGTCCAACCCCCAATTCAGACAGAAAACCGTATACCATTTCAGACAAATGGTTTGTTTGATCACTCAACATCATCCTTTTGCGACTGAGCTGATTTTCTTTCAGCTCTGCTCTAACACAACTTCTTTTCTGCAGTTTACAACACTGGACCTCTGTGGGACTTGGCAAGGGGTTATTTTCCTATTTGCAGGGACTATTTTCCCATATTGATCACTATACTTTCCATTTTTGGAACTCAGAATTCTTTAATAAGTTTCCCAAGCAACCTTATCAGCAAACTTAATAATTCTAATCATTTTCTAGCTTTTATAGAAAAGTGCCTGCTTTGATTTTCTCTGTTCATATAATCAGGATGTGTTGAACTGTTGTCTCATTCCATTTTCCAGTCTCTCTTCTCAGTACAAAGGAAAAATGACAATGTCATGCCATTATCATAAATTTTAGTAGATATATAGGTTTATTTGTGAAGACTTGGATTGTCAGGGAGTTTTCCTCGCTTTCATCCCTCTCTCTCTCTCTCACACACACACACACACCGCCAAAACAGCCAGATAAAGCACAGCACATGTACTGAATATATGGGAAGGGGCAGGGATAGCTATGTATTCCATTTATGTTGTTTTAGATCAGGGGCTGGCCACTGAATCAAGATGCATCTGATTGGCTGATGGCAGTGTCCTCTATATTTTTAGCAACAGATTGCATAATTCACTCTGAATGGCCGAGTTTAATGGGAGTTAGAAGCATCAACTCTCCTAATCCACAGTGTCAGCAACAAATTTGTAGCATTTCAGATAGATTTATTTCTCAGACATGGCATTATGTCTTGAACAAAAGATCCTTTTTCCTGCAAAACATAAGATAACCATTGAACTAAGAGTCTTTCTAGTATCCCTGAATGTATTTTCAGAAAGAAAAATATTTTTGAAAGTGTAGAAGCTTATCAGGCTAAGGTGCAAAAGCAGCAACACTATCTGAAATTCTTTTTGTGCCAAGCTGGTATAAGAGACCCAGTTTAGTGTAATGGTTAAAAGGGTACCCCAGTAGAAACCAGAAGGCTGCGACGACTACTCCTGCCTTAGGCACATAGCCACCTGGATGACTTTGGGCCATTTACTCCCTCTCAGCTCTAGGAAGAAGGCAGTTTGCCAAATGACTTTCAGAATGACTTTATCCTTGCAGTAGCCAGGAGCCAGAACTGACTTGAAAGCACAACACTAACACACAAAAACATTGACTTGTGCGGCAGTTTTGCAGCTATTCAGGAGGCAGAACAGAACAAAGAATGGCAAGCCTCTCTATTTCTAATAGCTCTATCAATTTCTACATTATAGACAAGAGTAAACTGATGCAGGTTTAAAAACTTTGAGTGCTCTTTCTCTCATACATTTGCTGAATCCTTTGACCATTTCTATAAGAGCAAGACTGAGAGATGAGTGAGAAAACGATTCCTTATTTCAGGGAAGGATCTCTTTTATCTTAAGAGGTGTATGCTTGACTGGTTTTGCCTTAATCTGTTAAGTGCACCCAGCCTCTAATGGGATATATACTAAAACAGGGATAAATTAAATTATGGTGATGTGGTAAATGAATTAGATTTGTGTATTGAAAATTGGGTCATAACTGACAGGCACAAATGTTTTTACTTGACTATTACAGTATAAATGTAATAACTGCTGCTTTGACTCTATAAAATACAACTTAAATTCAGATGCTGACAAAAATCTATTGCTAATTAATCACTACTGATTGGTACCTAATGGAGTGTTTTTTAAATATATATTTTTATTGTTTACATATAAATATATTGAATACAATGTAATTGTCCTGATGTTCCACTTGCCATAAAACAAAGGTAAAAACAAAATAACATATATACTATTTTAAACAGTATTGTACAGTAATTTCTGACCATCATATTCTAGTATGTTAGCTTATCTATCATTCTAATACCTACATTCTAATACATACATAGTATCTCTTTCCATGTCCACCTAACCTGATTCTTTTGCATTCCAACTTCTACCTCGTGTTTCTAACCATTGGTAGAATCTAATCCATGCAGCATAGTATTCTATGCTATTTTATCTTTTATTTTTAGAATTAGTCTACCCATTTCCGCACAGACTAGTATATTCCTTATTGTCTTCTCTTCTGAAGGGCTGTTTTAGCTCTTCCACTGCTGCACATACACAATTCTGGCTCCCGTCAAGATGTGTAATATTAGGTATAGTTGACTTTATCATAACCATCTGATATAATGCCTAATAAAAATAATTCTGGCTTAAACTGTATATGTTGTGGAGTGTTTTTGATTGTTACATAGATTTTTAAACATTGGATCTTTGAAACTTTAAATGACTGCCAAGTGCTACAATCAGGTTTTGCTTTACCTGTGTTTTCTCCCATGCCCTGAATTTTTTTTAAGCAACCACACAACATTTTGCAGAGACGCCTCATGGAAACAAATATGTCACGATTGCGGCACAGCCGAGGGACGTGCTCTCAGAAAAACGATCCCTCAGCTCAGACAAATAAACTGAATCAAATGAAACTGGACAGTCCCCCCAAGACAGAGGAAGAGGACCTCATTGTCATCTGCTGTCAGGTAAGCTTTTGTGTCCTGCAGGAGATCCATTAGTCCAATTCCTTTACTTTCAAAAGGTCCTACATCTGAAATAGTAGAACCTTCCAGAACAAGACTCAGGAGCATTCTGCTCCAGGCCTCCTCAAATCTGAGGATAAAGTTGAGGGCTGCCTGTATCTTGTTTGAATTAAACATCAGAGTTGGAAGTCATGAATGAAGGTGATATATATATCCCAGGATAATGTTGCAGGATCTAATCTGGGTTGGTCACTAGGAGCAGAGGTTTTGTCTTCCAAGCTTTCAGATTCATTCTGGAACTCATCTGCAGGGAAGGCATGAGGGAGAAGGTGAGAGCTATGCTCTTTGGTTTAGGAGTGACACAAATGTAGCCTATGTGATTTGTGTTACAACTAACACAGCTATTCTTCTGATTAACTGTGATCATGGGAATCACTTCCAATAGCTCAGCTTCTGTCCTAAAGCCTTGGAGTTGTTCCCCATGTTCTGAGCAATATCTATTGAAATCCTTCACTAGACAAAACATTGACTCAACTCAATTTCCTGCAAATTAATTAAACTGGCTGAGTTTACACAATTCATTGAGGACATGTTAGGCAATTGCATTTTAGTCTTGTGTATGTTATGTATCTTTCATGTGTGAAGCAGTCTTACTTCAATAAAACAATCATTCTGTTCTCCTTTGGTAAACATTATTGTGCACAGCACAGAAAAATAATAAACAATAACAAGGAAAGGAAAGGAAAGAAGTAAGAAAAAAAATCTGGCTAAATCTAGTATACTTCCCCACCATTTAGTATGTTTCTCGGTACTTTTCTGATTTTACAAACCATCTTTGCTTTCACCAAGTTTATACTGTTTGATATATTGCCTTTTGTTTTAAAAACTTCTTACCTTTCCTTTTTTCAGGATTTTATTAATGCCATCATCCATGGTAACATTCATGCATCATGAATTTCTTAAATACCCTGTTCCCAGTGCATTCATTGTGCTTTTTTCTGACATATCCATCTCCCACTTTCATATAAAAAGGGGATATAAGTACACTTTCATATACATCCCAACTTTTTTTTTCAGCAAACATTTTTTACATAGATTATATATGGCCCACTGTCTAATAGCGTTTGACTTCTTAAAATTTCTCCATTTTCTTTTCCCACCTAATAGTCCCAAAAATAGCATGGCTACATAACAGGGTTTTGAGCTTTCAAATATGAAATACATTTTAACTTGGAAACTACTCTTAATAATATTTCTGGGCTTTGGGTGAGTCATTGTCTCTTTGCTCAAGTTGTGACACAGAGTTGTTACGATGTTTGTTTCTTGATGTTCCCTTAGCATGCGTCTCTCCCTGCAAGGTAATATAATCAAGCTAAGTGCACAGGAAAAGATGCAAGCTCAGAGAACATCAAGAACCCAATAAGTCAGCCCTGTGAAATACATTCTCATTATGTCAGAGTTGTGAGCTGTTGATATTTCCTTGAGTTCCTAAATAAAAATCAATATAAAAATCAAAGAAATCCAAAGATTGGGTTTGTATGACCCAGTGGACCATAGATTATTCAAATATATTTTAGTCAAGCATTTTGTGCAACTTCAGCCCCTTGCTGTTAATTTATGGTATTTTGTTGTATTCAGTTTTCTGGAAAAACTGAATAACCCTTAGTTAAATCAAATGTGTCTAAGGGTCTATGTGAACACAGCTATTGTGTCCCAAATGCTTAGGGGTGGTAATGGAGATAGAACTTTTTGTCTAAAACTGTATCAAAAACCAATAGAAATACAGATAATTCACTTACCATCATCTGATATTTTGCAAAAATTCTATCTTTCTCTCTACAGTGTAATGGGAAGGAATTGCAAATTGTGGTTGATACTGGATGCCAACGCAATATAATTTCTTCTGCGTGTCTGGAGAGATTAGGGTAAGCAATACTCTTTGTGGACTGTAGCAATTGATGTACAGCAATTAAATTCTCTTGCTCTTACAAGCTTAGGTCATTATTGGTTGCACTGCTCAGTTACAGATTTAGGTTCTAAGGTTACCTTTGAAGTTGCAAGCTGAGCTAAAAATTTGCTACTGCAGAAAGGGGGAAAAGAAAATTATGGAGTAAATTACAGAACTATTATTAGTAATAGTAGTACTGAATCAAATATTCTAACTCCAAGCAACATTTCTTTGGGCATCCGTAGCACCTCTCTTTCTGTCACAGAGTAATGATCTTGAAAGAAGCATCTAGAATACATAGATAGATAGCTTTTGTTATTGTTCCTTTACAATAATCTTTTGTGAAACAGTGTTTGCAAATTCCTGAACTGGTATAAAAATCTCCCTAGAAACAGGCTGAAACAGCTAAATGAGAATCTGTCTTTCAAACCAAATCTTAATCCATATAAGTTTAAACAACATAGGTCTGGAACAAGCAAACTGTGTTTCAATAAATTTAGAATGATACTACCCATTGGGAAAGAATTTTATTCCAATGGTAATTTGGTCTATTTTTTTCCTGTTTCTCAAATAGATTTGATAATTCTTAGTCTGGTGACCATGAAACACTTATTTTAGCAATAACAATTTACAGCCCAGGGGCCATCCCACACTGATTGCTGAGAAAATAAATGCCAGGTTTTTATAACTGTGTAATGACTTATTTATATAACACTGTAGCTCTCAGTGGTTGTGCCTGTAATGAACTGAGCACTGCTGAGCAATTTACAGTCTCATTACCCAAAGTCATCATTATACATTTAGTAGGAGTTTTACACTGTAAGTTAGTATTACTTCCCACAGAGTAGCTGGCACCTTTATTTTGGTATATTTCTGACTCAGGACTGGAAAGCAGGGTGAGGCTTCCCTTGTTTCAGCACAGGGATGGACCAATTTTGACCCTCCAAGTGTCTCTTCAAATATCCGTCCCAGTTAGCTATATGGGATGGAGCTGTTGGAATGAGGGAAGCCATATATTACCCTGAACCCTGCCTTTCACAGCTGTTTGGCAGGAAATTAGGGGAAATGATGTCTATTTTCATACTGTCAAAAATTGTGGAGCAAGCTGTTGAGAGTGTCAAAATAATAAACCATAACCATATTTTTATTATTTTATTGGATTGAGCCAGTAAACCTCCTCAGAAGTGTTACTTGTTAGCTAGTGAGAAATAGCCGTGATAAAATGCAGACTATTGATTATAGATTATTTTGTTTATTAATATGTAGTTAGATTCTTTTACTCCATTTTTATATAGGGTCTTCTCTGAAGTGAGGATTGATTTGATACATTATTCAGTGATATTTTCAATCCACCTTTAATTTTTTTCCAAAATATGTTTTTTTTTTTTGCATTTTGTTACCTTCTCCAACTACCAGTTTTTATTTATTAGTAGTATATAACACTAATGTCTTGGTGGGGTGTTGAGGGCCATACTAGATTTTGCTTCATTTGCTGGGGCTGCATTGATAAGGAGAGTAGGGCCAGGATTTTAAATATATAATGTGAATATAAACATAGTAAAATTAATTAAAATATATTTAATAATGTTGTCCATGAAGGCAAATTTTGGAGCATTCTGTGGATACACCAAGATTTTGAACGATTGCATAAGGCTCTTGGCCTTTCACATTCTGTATCCTTGTCACATAGGATTTGACCTCTAAAAACTGTGCTCTCTTCCTTCCCCTAATTATGTCTTTATTTGCACATGAGCTCCCTTCAGTGACATTTAGTTAGGGGAGAGCCCCAGAACATTTGAGAACTGAAGCTTTGAATCTCATAACAAATAGATGTTTCATACCAGTGAATTGTGACAGACAAGCTCATAAATTGGGTCTTAGAGAGCAAAATTTCACAGTGAATCACAGAAGGTTTAACCCCCAAACTCCTAGGGTTAATATTTAATTTAAAACTCATGTAGGCTTAGAGACTTCATGGTGTTCCATCAAAGAAATTACAGCTTATATTTATTGAGGTGGGAATAATAATAGTGTCGGAAAGAAGAACATTGTGTGTAGTCCTTACCATATGTAAATTATTTCTTTAGCCATGTATCTCAATACATGGCTAAGTACATGGCTCAATATCATATATTGAGCCAATACATGGCTCAATACACGACTATTCAGGAAGGTAGCGTAGAACATACTTTGGTTCCATCCGATGCTTAAAAAAGGGAACTGGTGCTGGGATGCATGACATTGTCTTAATTATTTTCCTTTTATTAAAAAGGGAAAGATGTTTGTAGTTTGATTACTGTAAAAAAGAATTAATTGTAAGTTAGAAATTCAATGAAAAATTCAACAAAAGCACTTTACATTGTCAAATCTATTGTTACAACAGGAAATTTCAAAATGTGAGGTTCGCCTGGCTTAATTATTAGTTTTATCACCACTCTTTGGTTGTGGGTGTCTCCTTTTGCACAGCTATCAACATGACTGATTTATTCCTGAAAACACAGATGATGTTTTTCTCAAAGTGTTACATTTTCTGGTTTTCAGGGGGAAATGAATTGAAATGTACAAATTGTCTCGTTTTTCTTCCTTGAAGTGATGAATACAGTAGTGACACTTTCAACTTTTAAAATTAAAATTTATGGTATGCCCATATTTCTATTTAACATACATGGGTTTACAAAGTTTTAATTAACACTAATTGTTAAGGATTGTCTTCACTATCCATAATATTTTTTTCTTGATCTGTTCTCTCTTCTAAAGCTATTCTATTGCATGAGACTGCATAATACTGTCAAGTTTTCTTTTAAAAAAATCCTATGCTTTATTTGCCCAGGAGAAATCCATTTCTCTTATTAAATGGAACCTATTTGAAATTTAAAGTGACATGTTATACTGCACTTTATGCATAATTTCCCTTTCAAGTTTCTGCACTTTTCAGCATCACAGTAGGGTAGGCTAGCATTCATTTCTGTAATTCCTGTTTTCTATTGTGATTTTACATTATTTTCTCTTTCTGTTTTTTTCTGAGCACTTTACTTTATAGAAATGATTGTCTTGTGATGTGCTTTGTTTAATCCATTTTACAATGAATGTCGCTGAGAAAGTTCCTCATTGCTGGCATATCTGTCAGATTTTTCTTTTTACTAGATCTTTCCTAACCCTGTTGCAGTCACCCATTACTGTTATTGTTTCCAGTTACTTTTTCATTTTAAGAATAAATGATGTTCGCAAAACCCTATTTACATGGCATTGTATGCCTATCTTTTTTTGTTCTGAAATTCTCTAGATTTGTATGAAGTGAGAATGCATCTAGTACTTATAAAAAAAGTAGGGTCTGGTGTGGAGGTTGTAGCATCTTATGGCCCTGGTTTTCTATAACTTCATAAAATGTAACATTTCAGAATGTAAAACAAGCTTTCTGTATCAAACTGTTTTCAGCAGGAGAGGCTCCAGTACTTTGATGTAAAATTGACTCAAACACATAGCCTAACTAAGAAGAAGTCAGTTATGAACTTATATATGTAAAAGCCAAGTTCTAATCTAGTTTAGCCATAAAATCTATTTTCCAGATTCACTTAATTTTACAATCACTTTTCTGGGATAAAGATGGATGGGAAAATAAAATAGGAATCTATTGGTAGTTTGTTAGACTTAAATTGATAAGCATAGATTTCCCGTTTAACTTCCTTATAAAAATAGCAACAGCACAGCACATTTCATATATATGCATGTATGTATATATTCATTTATTTAGAAGCCTCCCAAATCCATAGGATTCTGGGCAATTTATAATGGCAAAAATAATAAATACAGATAGTCCTCAATTTACCACCACAATTGAGCCCAATATTTCTGTTGCTGAGACAGATGTTAAGTCAATTTTTCCCTGTTTTATGACCATTCTTGCCACAGTTGTTACGTGAGTTACTGAAGTTGTTAAGTTATTAACATAATTGCTAAGTGAATCTGGCTTCCCCATTGACTCTGCTTGTCAGAAAGGTACAAAAAGGATTCACAGAACCCTGGGACACCTCAACTGTCATAAATATGAACCAGTTGCCAAGCGTCCGAATTTTAATCACATGATCAAGAGGGTGCTGTAATGGTTGTACGTGTGAAAAACAGTCATAAGTCTCTCTCTTCAGTGCCATTGTAACTTTGAACTGTCACTGTGAACTGTTGTAAGTTGAGGACAATCTGTAATAATAAAAGTGTACACCATGTGCATCCATAAAAACAAAAAAAGAAAAACCATATAAAATTCTAAAGGCATCTACCATAACCTAAGGCCTGGGACAGCTATGAGCATCCATTAGGATCCAAGTAGTAACACAAATTGCAGGTTTGCAATTATACAGGTAATGTTAAACCTCCCATTGAGCCACCCTTTTGTGTTTGGTTCCATTTTGTAGATTTCAGTGTTTAATTAAGAAAAGCAAGTTTTTGCAACCAGAATGTTTTTCTATTTTTGTTGTTGATGTAGACTGACAATATTATCTCCAACTGCTTCCAGGGCAAATTTGTTTTATTTTGAGGTTGTTGGAATAAGCATGAAATATAATGTAATAAACAATACAAATTGAGATGGCATAACTGCAATGGATATAGATAAAAAGAAGTACATCCTTCAGAATATTCAGAAATTACAGCAGAGGCAAAGAAAATCAGTGATTTAAGTTTTTTGAATTGCAATGCAGTTGCATTGTCCCAGGGTCATGTGATCCCATTTTGTGACTTTCTGACAAGCAAAGTCAATAAAGAAGACAGATTCACTTAATTTAACAACTGCTGTGATTAACTTAACAAATGTGCAAGAAAAGTCGTAAAAAGGGACTAACTCACTTAACAAATGTTTCCACTTACCAACATAAATTTTGGGCTCAATTGTGATTGTAACTCATGGACTTCCTGTAGTATTATATTTAAGAAGCTGGTGCAAAAAGAAAAGAGATGCTGGGTACATTTGAAAAAGGAACTTTT